TTTCCTTCTTCACCTTTCCTGCTTTCTGGTGGGTCATTTGAATTTTTTATGGCTCCATCTAAATTGGTTGTGTTTTCACTCTATCTCCTCAATCAGTGTTATTAGTGGTTGCTCTAAAGCTGGTAATGTACATATTTAATTATAACGGTCTGCTTAGAATTGGTATTTTGCTTTATTCTCCCTTTTTTATGTTGTGTTACACCTACACAGATTGAAAACTCTATGAGATGATTTATAATTTTTGGTTTCATAAAACATGTTTTAAAGAATTCCAGAGGAGAAGAATATCTGGAATACTTACTCAAGTGCTTGTTATGTTTGCTGGCCTCCTATCAAGACTGGGTCCCAATTTCCTTCTGGTACCATTTCCCTTCTGTCTAAGGCACTTGCTTTAACAATGCTTTTGAAGGGTTCTGACAGCAAAAGTTCACCTCGTTTTCCTTCACAGGAATGTGACCTTACTTACCTTCATTCCTGAAGGACATGGGAGTCTGTGTTGACATTGTTTTTCTTTCTTCACTTGAAAAATACTAGGCGCTTCCTTTCGTTCCTTCTGGTTTCCCCAAGAAGCCCACTGTTACTCACTGTTTTTCCCCTGGAGCTAAGCTGTAATCTTCTCTGGCTGCCTTCAAGGTTTTTCCTTTGTCTTCAGTGGTCAGAGGTTTGGTTATGATGTGTCTGGGTGTGGATTTCTCTGACTCACCCTCTTTGGATTCATGCGTCCTCTTGAATGTGCAGATTTATGTCTCCTGCCAAGTCTGGGGAGTTTTCATCATTATCTCTGGGGTGGACAGAATTCTCACATGGCCCCCTGATTCCTGCTCCCTGGGGTACACTCAGTTTCTCGGTTATTTGATCAAGCATTAATCTAGGTGCTGCTGTGAAGAGATTTTAAGATATAGTTAAGGTCCCAATCAGTTGACTCTAAGATAGGCAGACTATGGGCCTTCCCTAATCAAGGGAGTCCCTGCAGAGGAACTGGGCTCTTCATGGAAGCCCTGAATTACAGCTGGGCTACAACACAAGAGCAGGCAGTTCTCTGTTGCTGACTGGGAAGATGCATGGGGACAGGAATGCAATCTCTAGTGCCTGCAAGCAGACCCCAGGGGGTACCCCATGAGGAAATGGGGCCGGTGGTCCCATAGCTGTGGGGGATGGAATGGTGTCCCCAACACACGAGTGGAAGGAGGGCTGAAGCCTGGGAGAAAGCACAACCCTGGCAGACCACCAGTTTCATTCAGGTGAGACCCCAAGCAGGGGACCCAGCCTGGCCGAGCCCAGCTTCTGCCCTGCCAAGAACGGGATGATAAACAGTGCTGTTCATGCTCTAGGTCTGTGGTGATCTGCCCTGAGGCAATAAGAAATGCTTCTCCAACTTTACTTCCACATCTCATCTCTCCTGTCCTGCAGGGTCCCTGTCACACAGGCATCGGACCTGTGAGAATGCGCCACAGGCCTGTGAGCTTCACCCTTCCTTCTCCCCGTGTTTTTCTCTGTTGTTCAGACTGAATACCTGGGTTCTGAGCCTCTGGCTCTGTCGCCAATCCCATCCCGCGAGGTGGGTCTTTAATTCCAGGCAATGTGCTTCTTGGTTCTGAAGTGTCCGTGTGGCTCCTCTTCATAACTTCTATTTCTTTCTACTTTCCATTCAGGAGTGTTCACCCTCACTTGTCGGAATATTTTCACAATCACTAAAGTCTTTCCCAGATAATTCCAGCGTATTTGTCATCTGAACATTGGGGTCCACTGGTTGTCCTTTCCCAGGGAAGCTACGACTTTCCTGGTTCTCCATGTGATTATATCTTAAGCATTTTCATATTGTGTCACGAGACTGGATCTTTCAGTCCTCAATCCTCTGGAGAATGTTATTTTTGAGTTAGGGGATCAATCTGGCTGGTCTCGAGCTACAAGTGCCCACCTACCTGCCTTCTGTGGGCTGTGACTCCAAGGTAGGTCAGTTTCCAGCCTTCTGCAGACCACTCAGGTCTGTCCCCTGTGTACCCCACACATGGGCTGCTCTGGAACGAAAGACCCTGAGGACAGAGACAGGGTGAGGCAATGGGGTTACAGACCCTCTGACTCAGCCTCAGACCTTGAGTCAGCGAGGAAGGGTCAGTCCCTGGAGCACAGGGCTCTGTGGGCTTCTAGACTGTTGCTGCCATGGGACAGCTTGGGGCCAAGACCCCAGGAACCAACAAACAAGGGCTAAGAGGAAGGTGGGGCTCCCCCACTCTGCATGGGCACTGGGAGCCTGCTCTCCTGCTCCATGTGCTGGGATGAGAGGCTTCCCCCAGGTCCTCTGTGTCTGTCCCACACACACTGTTGGGCCTGAGGCTCGTTCAGTGAGGCCGGGGACACCAGAGGGAACAAGGCTAGCTCACCGCCAGTTACTAGCATTCTGGGCTCTGCTCCCCTCCCGGCTGCCTGCTGCAGCTTAGTCCCGAGTCCCGTGAAGCCAGCCCCCACCCACCAAGGTCAGCAGCTATTGTCACCAGGTGGTCAGGCATGGTGCAATTAGTCCAGCATACCCAGAACAGACCCCCTGGTGCAGTATGAATACTGGATTCTGGTGGCAATGAGTTATTTTCGCACTAACTAACATTGAAGCTGCCTTTATTTTCAGTCGTGTTGGCCGGTGAGTAGTGAGAAAATCCAGAGGTTCTGGCCCCTGGGCTCCCAGTGAGGCTGTAAATAGATACACACATGTTGGGAGAACAGCTCTTTCTTCCACAAAACTCTGATAATTCCTTTGGCAAAGCAAAAATCCACTTAATGTAAATATTTGCAGACTAATCCCTGTTGCACACTTAGATACCCAAATAAAAGAAGACTGAGATGAATAACCTTTCTTTAGAATATGAAGATGTCTTGCTGCCTGAGACAAAGTTTCATGCGCTTTATCAGTTTGTGTGAGGCTCTCCTTCTGGGTAAGGGAGCACCCCAGTACTCCACAACAGAGACCAGAAAACCATGGTGTGTGGGCCAAATGTGTCCAGAAGCCTATTTTTGTAAATGAAACATTATTTGAACACATATTACTTCTATTGCTGCTATCAGCTACAACAGCAGCGTTGAATAGTCACAACAACAAAGACTGTATGGCTTGCAAAGCCTAAAATGTTTCCTCTTTGGCCTTTTACAGATAAAAATTTCCCAACTCCTTGTCTGTAGAACATAAAAAAGGCGAACAAGTTCTCCTACCTACAGTGTAGATACCTGATACACGTAGTTCCCGCCTCCTATTCCCACACCCAAGGCAGACGTCTCTAAGTAATCTGTGCTGAGCCCCAGGAGACATGGCTCATCAATCTCTGCTCTTTTTCCTGCTGAGCAATAACCTCCCTCAGAATTCTCACCTCGACATGCTGGGCAGTTCCAACCAAGAGGTCTAAAAATAACAGATGAGACGAAAGCCATTAGCCATGTGTATTCTAGGTTACGGTTGGAAGAAGGAATCTAGGTAACAGAAGGAAAATGTAAAGGTGATTTTCTCCCCTACAGGCAGGGGCAGCTCCAGATTTAAAGCACCTGAAGCTTACATAATTCGGGAATCTCCTTGTTACAAAAGTTTAAGATTACAAATATAAATTACTACAAGGCCTTGAAAGGACCTGTACAAGTGAGAACGGGAAGTTTACGCTGCATTGACTTTGTGGCTGATCTCCCTTGTGAATCTTTACAAACTCCAAATGCCCAGCCTCACCCTCAAACCCCGGCCCAGCTCTGGGGTGTGTCCCCACCATGTGCTGCTTTAAGCGCCATGCAGTCAGTCCCGATGCACACCTGGGGAGCAGACCTCATGGGATGCAAGCAGGGGGGACGCAGCCCGGCCAGGGTGGACGATGGCACCAGAGGCGACTAACACAGGCTTCCAGCTAACATAAGCATAGGGTGTTTGTGATGTGAGTGTGTGTGTGCATGTGTGAGAATATGACTCGGAGGCTGTGGGGGCCGAGCAGCAGCATTCTGGATGCCTGGGGTCCAACCCACAGCTCTCCGGCCAGGGGCCGCAAGCCCACCCTTCTGGGGAACTGGCAGCAAAGGTGCCTGGCCCTGGGCCTGCCCCCCTGGGAGAAGAGAGAGAACACCGTGCCCGTTGCTGAGAGGGCAGCAGGGACTCGTCGGAGCCCGACACACAGCAGGCACCGAAGTCAGTTACAGTCCAGGTCTGCTTCCTACTCAGCAGTTTAATCACCCTGAGCCTCAGTTTCCCCACATGTAAATTGGAGGTGATAAAAATATCTTGCCTCTGCGTTTGTTCTAAGGACAAAAATGAAATGGTGGCCTGAGGACCCATCATCATCGCTCAAATGTGACAAAGAAAAGTTAGAAAAATGCCTCTGTGATGCTTGCTCTCAAATATTCCCAGAAATTGTCATAATCTGAGGTGAAGCAGGCCTTCCTTAGCATGCCAACTGCAAACTCAGACAGACAGATGTGTAGAAAGTGGCCTGTCAAAGGCTGGAGCATAAAGAACAAAAATACAAAGATACTATTTGCTACAAAAATCAAATGAATATTCATATTTGACCTGATTGTTTATAGGTCATAATGCATGATCAAAACCGAAAGTTTCTGTGATGAATGCCCTTGTACTGTTCACCATGTAAGAATTTATTCACTATGTAAGAATTCATTCACCATGTAAGAACTTGTTCGTTATGCTTCAGAAGATTGGAGACTGATGAGAATTAGGCTTGAGATGGATTAATGATTGTACATTGAGCATTGACCCCCCTATACTGAATTTTATTGTTGTTAACAACCATTTGATCAATAAATATGAGAGATGCCCTCTCAAAAAAAAAAAAAGATACTATTTGTAACTTCAATATATGGTACTAGCCTCAGAGACAGCCCCAAGGACCCCCAGCCCAACCGCTGCCAGCACATGAAGGTGTGCTGCAGACACAAACGGTTGCACACGAAGGGCACACTCCCATGAGTCAGGTAGGTGGGGCAGTGACGGCTGTAGAGACCTGTGTGGTGGTAAAACTCACCTCCCCTGTTAGCTGAGGTGCAAACACGGATACTTCCCAGCATCTGGGCACAACAGGAACTGCGCCACGGAGTCTCGGTCGGTGCAGTCTGACCTGGGGACCCCAGTCACAGCAGCTGTAAGTGCTCCCCATGCTGGGCTGGGCAGTTCCAGTGCTGGAAATTCATGCTGTGGAAATACATGGGTAAACCCATCCCAGAAACATGAGGAAAATCTGTTCTGGTGTCCATAATTAATGCAATGTAGCCTTAAGAAAGAATTATGCAAACCAATGTGTGATGATATTAAAGAAGATATACAAGTTGTGAGAAAAGAAAATTTATAAAAGAATGTTTAATATATACCATTTCTGTAAAATAAATAATGTTTGTGAGGCAGAGAAAAATCTGAAGGACACACCAAACTATTAACAGTGGACTGGGAGGAATTAGACTATATGGTATTATTGCTTTAATTTTATTTCTCTCAGGATCAGTTACATGTTTTACAAGGAGCATGCATTATTTCCACTGTCTGGAAAACAAAAGGCAAGCATATTATAGACTAAAATTGATAAATAATGTCAGTAATATTGAGTTTGTGTTTTATAATGCACTGAAGATTGAATAGACATCCATCTTTAAGGGCAATTTTTTTTCTAGGGTGACAGTTTGGATGATTTGACTTCTTTTATAAAGGTCACAGGTTATGTTTAGATGATATTTAAGGAATTAATGCCCAGATAATTACATCTTAGAAGTTTAACTTCAATTTGTCTTTTCATTCTTCTATGTAAGGAAGCAGATTTATCTGAATTGTAAGATGTACACTTTTCCATAAGCTCAATAAGGGTATTTTCCTCCTTGGATATTTTTCCCGACTTGGCCCTGTTAAAAGCGGCTCTCACAGCTGACAGCAGAGGCCGGTCACTGGGCCAGTGTCAGCGAGCAGTTCACCAGCCTGCGGAGCAAACCCACCCACCAGAAGGTGCCCCAGCTGTGCCCAGCCCAGACCAGAGTGGCCACAAACAGAGCCTTTGTCTCTTTCTTCTGTGAGTGGCCTGGGGGGCACTGACTCTGGGGGCAGGGGACAGCAGGGCGTGTGGCCCAAGGTTTCAAAGAGCTGGGAAGGAGGGCAAGGCAGGCAGACGTGGTCAGAGCTCCTTCAGAATGAACGGGATTCCAGGGGCCTGAAGGCCAACAGCCCTGGACAGCTCAATGGGGAGGGGCCCGTGGGGTTCATCCTGCTAACAGGGCCAACCTCGAGAGGAGCTGGGGTGGGCGCGAGGGGCACAGCAGGTCTGCGGCAAGCCCACACTGCCACCAGAGAGGAACTCAAGGGGCGAGACACTGGGCTGGGTGAGGCTGGCAGTCACCAAGCAGCAAGGAGCAGGACGCCCCAGACCCTGAGCACGGCAGGCCTCTCGCTGCCGGAGTGGCCCCTACCGGCTCAGGATCCCTCCTGTCCGCAGAGTTCCGACCATTCGTGTGGGCTGTCCTGGCCGCAGTCTGCACTCGGGGGATAACAGGACCCACAGACGGTACCCACCCAGGGCAGTGGCAGTGGTGTGCCCATGACAGGAGCCCAGGCTGCGAGGGCAGCTGTCCCTTTGTGCCAAGCCCCTTCCTATCGGAGTGACGTGTGTCCATATGTTTCATTTTACAGCAGAGGACTGAAGCCTGGCGTGGCGCAGGGGGCTGCCCACAGTTGCACAGCTGCTGCACAGTGGGGCTGTCGTCCTGAACACTCCTTTGCTGCACAGGTGGGTGTGTGACCCCTGGGGGGCACCACAGAGGGTGCACGGCATCCCCCGTAGGCCTGCACTCCGTTCCCGACCCCCTTCCCTTGAAATAATGGCTCTCACCTTTGGAGCTCATTCCCATTTGGCAGCAGGAAGTCCTACCTCCATGGCGTTCTTGAGACCCTCCGAGAGGGGCCAGAGGAAGGGCGGTCCCAGCTGCAGGCCCAGTGCGACAGCGTCCTTGTCCTCCAGGGCCTGCCTCCTTCTGGCAGCTCAGGACAAGGGAACGCCCATAGCCAGGGGCCCCAGTGGACATGTGTGGTTCTGGAATTGGAAGATGACGCTGCCGTGCACCTGTGAGTTCAGCCAGGCCTCAGCCCCAGGACCTCAGCTCCTTGCCTGAAGTGGGCACCTCCACCTCGCGAGGCCGGGATCCAGGCAGCTGACACACCTGGCTGAGGCTTGCAGCCTCCCTGCTCCACCCTTGCCCGCAGCCTCTCCTCTCTGACCTGGGCCCTCCGTGTGCAGGGCCAGTGAGCGTGCTCAGCGTCCAAAGAGAAGAAACCAGCCTCTAGCAGGTGGCCAGGCTGCTCCACTGTGATGCTCTGGCCACCTGCCCAGCATGCAGGCCAGCTAAAAATAGCTCCCATTGACTGGAATGATTCTGTCTGAGAAGAAGCCTTCTGCCTGCCCCTTCCCTGTCCCCACCCTCCTCGTGTCACGGCCTCTCCTAGCAGAGCTCCTTAGGCTCCAAGTCCAGCTGAGCGGCCTCACACGCACATACTTTCACTCCTGGGGCCCTCTGACATTCTGGCCGTGGTACCTGCCAGACTGCAACTTGCATGCTGCTGACAGCTGGGCTTGCACCAGACGGGAGTAAATCATGTGGTCTTTGGAGGCCCCAGGACATGCAGTTACTTATTTAACACTGTCCTGCCCAGAAAACAGAAATGACAACCCACTGGAGCCCCTGAGGGACCATTGGTTGAGGGAGGCTGGGTGCGTGCATGCTGACACCTCGGGCTCCCAGGAATCCCATGGGGTGGGCACCCCTGCACCACATGCTGCAGGGAGGAGCCTGCACCCAGGGTGCCTGTGGAGGTGCCAGGGACAGGACACATGCATTGGTGATCCAAGCCACAGCTGGGGCTCCCGACCAGCAGGTTGAGCTCCCAGGTGCCTCCAGCGCACTGTGGACTTTTTCCCAGGAAGAGGGCCCTGCCCTGAAGAATTTGCTTGCTTCTCCCACAGGGGCCTCCTCAGGAAGGTAGGGGTCCAAGCCGTGCTTGCTGGGAAGCAACCCCACCCTGGCACCCTGTGCACCCTGCCAAGGCTGCCCCCAGGTCAGTTCTGGATGGGTGCCCGAGCACCTCCCCCACAGCCTCAGAATCCCTCTGGGGCCCTGCAGAAGGACAGATGCCCTGGCTGCACACTTGTCCCACTGCCCACGGGCACCCCCATGGTGAGAGAGCCCTGTGGGAGCTGCCTTCCCACCCAGAGCATGAACAGTGCAGGGAAGGGTCTTCTCTGTACGCCTCGTGCCGGAACAGGCCACCACGCAACGCCGCCTGAGAGTACGTGCTTCTGCCATGATCTCGAGCCCCACATACCAGGCCCTGCTGTCCTGTTCACCCAGAGCACAGTCCACAGACTCTTTGCAAAGAGCCAGGCAGTGGGTGTTTCAGCCATGTGGGCTCAGCTCCACTTCTGTAGCATGAGGCAGCATAGAAAACGTGTAATAAGCATGGCAGTGTTGCCAAAAAGCTCATTTACAGAGCTGGGCTGTGAGCTGCAAGGAGGACCGACCCAGCAGGGTGCTGGTCCCTGACCCAGAGGCCTTTTCCCTCCTGCAGGGCCCCCCTCCCCAGATCCCAGGACAGCTTCTTCCTGCAGCCATTTAGAGGAAGCCAGCAACAGGCTCCCTGGGGCGCAGACAGCCCCCTCTGACCTGTCCAAGTGGGGTCAGTGTCACCACCATGCACATCTGGTTGCCTGGACCCCGCCCGCTGCTCTCATAGAGTTGCCTCTCGTCTGGCTTCTGGGAGAGCTCAGACAACTCCTGAGTGGGGTGCGGCCTGGCACAACCTGTGAGCCGGGAAGTTCAGAGGCCCTGTGCTGGGCAGAGGGCTTCGCCCAGACCGGAAGCTCCCAGGGGTGTGGAGTCCCCAGCAGCTGGTGGCAGCACCTGTGGAGGGGGTCCACATCAGCATGGATGGCACACGTCCCCCCACCCACGGCATGAGCCGTCCCTGGCCAACGGGAGCGCTCTGGGGAGGACAGAGGCCCTGCTCTTCCCCAGGGATGAGGGCAGCTTCCTGCCGGGTCCCTGCACTGCCTGGCTGTCCTCCCTGCCTGCCTCCATGCTGGGCAGGGCAGCATCCATTCTCCCTGGGGGGCCCATCCCCCTCTCCACCCTTCTCTGAGGGCTCCCTCTCAGTGAGAGCTTCTCTGGAGGGAGCCCAGCCCGCCTCAGTGTGTGTGCTTGCTCACTGTGGCACATCGACCTGTGAGGCATTGACCCCACCCACAGGCTTACTGGTGACCCTGTGGGTGCCTGGCAGCACCTCCTCTCTCATCAGCCACTACCCTGGAGGGGCAAGGACCTCATGTCTCTGCTCACAACTGTACTTCCAAGTCTGCAGAGAATGCCAGACACATAGGAGCCCTAGCAGCACGTCAGAGGGTTAACTGGCTCACTGCTGGTGATCTCGGTTCCCCCACTAGGCGACCCTCCTCCCGTGTTTAGGAATGCTGTCTGCCTGATCCGCTGCCGTCAGGGTGCTACCACCCTGCATGCTAAGTTTGGTCCCAGACCAGCAGCGTCAGGAAATCCTGGGGGCCTGTTAGCAGCTCAGGACCACGGCCCCACCTGACCTAAGTGCCAGAACCTAATTGCAGCAAGTTCCCCTCATGACCTCCTGCTCCTTAGGGTCTGAGAAGTGCCATCTGTGGGCGATGGCCCGGCGAGCATGGGCGGACGTGTGCACAATGTGTGGGCAGCAGGCTTAGCATGTGACCTTCTCAATGGAGTGACTGCAGAACGACGCTGGACACCAAGCCATCAGTGCCCCGTGCAGCCCGAGTGCAGGAGCCACTGGACTCCCCGCAGGGAAGATCAGGGTCATCGGGGGAACTGGAATCCACCTTGCCTGGGACTTGGGGAACGTGTACAGTCTCCTCCAGTGGTGGACGGCACCCAGATGCCAGGCCTGGTGACCAGGGCTGTGGCTCTTACAGGTACTCTGTCCAGGTGGCGGTTGGACTTGAGATCCCTCTCGCAAGCTGCTGACCCCAGAGGGCATCCCGGTGGGTGGTGAGACTCAGTGCCCTCACGGGAGCACAAGCCCCTTGGATTCTCCTGAGGCTTGCTGGGCTGTTTTCTAGTTTTGCTGAACAATACTGCTCACGCCCAGGACTGGGGGGCAGCCCGGGATGACACCAGAGCTGAGTGAGGGAGTCCCGGGACTACAGCGCACCCGCAGGGCCTCACAGCTGACGTTCTGTGGTGTCCTTGCGCCCTCTGATCTGGTGTTTGAGGAGCAATAGGAAACTAGCAGGCCCTGAAAAGCACGCGCGTCCAGCCCCAAGCCCTTCCTGTGTCCTAAAAATACAGCCGATCCGATTCCTGCAGCAGCTATTCTGGAGCCGGGACAGCAAAATGCTTCCTCCAGATGAAAAGGCCCGGAACTGTGGACCGACTCCCACCGCCTGGAGGTCACGGCCCGCAGGGAGCCGGCTGCCCAGGGGACACACAGCCCCGGAGCTGCCTATTTTGGGAGGCTGGGGTGGGGGCAGAAGTGGTACTTCTATTTTTTTAGTTTATTTTGTTTTTAAATTCAAACTAAGTCAGGAAAGGTGGGGAGTGAAGGGAGAAGTAGACACAGGGAGCTGGACTGGGGAGACTCTGATCAGGGCCGTGAGCCCCTCCCTTTCCAGGCTCACTGGCGCCTGACGCTGGGGACTGGAGCGAGCCAGCCCCTCCTGGGTGCCACGGGGTGAGGCCAGGCTCCCCTGGGCCCCCTCCTCCTGTTTTCACCAGACATGACCCTGAGGAGGGGGCTTACCTGAGCTCGAGGCCACGCCTGCATCTGCTCCCCAGTAAATCTCTCTTGCACGCTGCTCCAGGGCCCCTGGGAGTCTGTTTGCTTGCTCCTGGCTTCTGAGAGATCAAGGGGAGCGGCTCCTACTGCTGGGCCCTGGCTGGGCTTGCACGGCCACCAGTGTGCGAGGCAGCTGAGGCCTGCAAGTTGCATCCACACCTCCTGCCGCCTAGTGGGTCCTGCCCATTCCAGGTGTCCCACTTGCCCATGTCCTTATCTGGCCATCAGTAGAGCTCACAGAGAGCTTCCGCCACCTCCCAACCTCAGCAGATTCTGTCCCTTCTTCTCTCGAACGCGGGCCCAGCCCTTCTGTGGACCTTGCCCTCCCTTCCTCCAGGAAGCCTGGGCAGACATCGTCGCAAGAACCTCCCGAGTCCACTTGTGCAGCCCTCACCCCTGACCGGCCCTCTCTCCCACCCCACGGTCTCCTTGGAGCAGTCCTGGGGGACAGGGACGGAGTGCATGGGTCTCACTCGGGTGCACTCAGCCTAAGGCACTAACCCCCTGAAGAGAAGAGGTGTGTACGTAGAATCTCATTACAGCTACATCATAGATGGTGACTTTTTAAAAGAAGAAAACCCTAAATGTTACACGAAATTGGCAATGTCAACTGCCATCATGAAATCTCAGGACACTGGTATCAACACACTTTTCCAAGGAATAAGAGAAAAAGGCCAGGCTGACTTGAAAAAGGGAGACAAGAGGGCTTGGCCCTGAGCGCAGCTCTGGCCCGGCAGTGAGGCCATTACCCTGGGGTGATGACAGCGGCTGGCAGGACCTGGGGAGGATGGCACTGGGCCTCTGTGTCGCTCCCCCAGACCTCCTGGCCCAGCCCGATGGTCAGAAAGTGCCCAACACAGATTTAGGAGCATTCTACAAAACTCTTGAGCAGCACCCCTCAGAACTGGGAGGGTCGTGGAAACAACAAGAGGAAAGACCGAGAAACCACTGACAGGAGCTTAGGAAGACTGGGACCAGGGCCATGCGACCCCGGGGGCAGCCAGGGGCACCGGGCACCTGGAGTGTGGCTGACTGCCCTGAACTGAGGCTGGCTCCGTGGCTTTGATGAGCATACTCTGGAAATGCAAGGCGTCAAAAACGGGTAGAGATGCGCAGGCATCTGGGGAGCCCTGTACTATCTGCAAACGTTCTGCAAATCTAAAATCATTCCAAAATGAATTTTATATTTAAAAAAATGGCATTGGCCTTATCAACAGCAATACTAGATGCCCAAAATCATACCTCAAATCCATGTGAAAAATTATTTCCACCAAGAATTTTCTATCAAGCAAACTACCAGTGGAGGTTGAGGCTGAAATGAAGACACTACCAGTCATGCAAGGGCCCAGAAAATGCGCTCCCACATGCTCATGGTACACGATCAGGGGCTGGAGAAATGAAGGAACAAATCAAGGAAAAGATGGGTGTGGAATCCAGGAAGTGGAGTGCCCAGAAGGCCAGGGAGAGTCCCTGGTAGGAGCCCTGCCCCAGGTGGGGTGCCCTTGGGAGGGCAGGGAGCAGGTGCGGGAGCAGCAGGTGAGCCTGGGCCTGGGCCTCTGACAGGCTGGTAGGGGCATTTGGAGAAAACATAACGTTTAGTACAGAGAAATCTGAGGAAATGACACTGCCTTTATTATTAACCCCCAGGGAAGTGAAAGTGTTAAGAGAAATAGGATCATAGTGCACTGCTTGGCTCAACAGTTAAAAAAATCCCACATGCTGCTTATTTATCAAAACTATGATGTAACTATTTATCAAAACTGTGAGAAAACTGGGAAAAGATCATATTAGATGAAAGAATTAAATCTCCAACCATCCTAAGAGGAAATAAACATTTTCTGTATAAAATTCCTAATCAGTGTATTTTTTTAAAATGGTTGCCTGTACAAAGCAGAACTGGGGATGTGGAGAGAAGGTGTGGATAACTGCTATGTTTTTAAAGAAATCTTCTAATATTTTGTAAAGACATTACATGGATATATTATTTAACACCATTTTCAATTTTTAAAAGGAAATGTTTGGCATATAATGTTAGGGGAAAAAAGCAAAACAAATTGCATATGCAGATTAACAAAATCAGACATAGCTAGTGTTGAATTGTAACACCTGTTAACGATGAAAACAGATGACATGGCAGCACCCATCTCTGATGGATGGTATCTCTCCTAATCCATTTTTATAACCTGTCTAGCAGATCAAAGCAGTGGGAAGCTGCACTTTTAAATTGAAACTGAGTATCAAATGTTTGAGGAATATTATTTTCTTTTGCTTGTACAAATGCAGAGTGTTGGGGGAACCCAACAATGAGAAACAGTTTTTAGTGGATAACCTTGATATGTTTTTGTTTTCAGTGCAAATCTATATTTTATTAAAGAGAATAGTTTCATAAATAATTGGTTAAAGAGTAGGGGCCGCTGTTATTCATTCTTATTAAAACTGCGTTTTCGGTAGTCATAAAATGCTAGTTCCCTGACTCTGAACCCAGCAGCCTAAGTTCCTTGCTTTCTCCTGCTCCAGTCCCCTGCCTGCTCCTCTTTGCTGCCATCTCTGTTCTCCCACAGCCAGCACGTCTCTGCCTCCTTTCCCCTATGCCGGTGGCCTCTCTGTGCTGAGGGATAACCTGGCGTTCGAGCACCCAGCCCGCGTCCAGCTCTTGCTTATGGGAGGGCAGTGCAGGGACAGAAAGTTGGGACAGTTTGAGGGGATGGTGGGGTGAGTCACTTGATACAGTGGGACGGGCAGGCTATTCTTTAAAAATGCAGGAACAGCAAATACCTAAGAGGTTCCGGAAACCCAGTTGCTTTGTTTGGGAAACAAATTTTGATAAAGTATGGTCTCTTCTGCTTCTAACAGAAGTGTCAGCTCAGAGGGCGCCAGGCCTCCTCCTGACAGGGAGGATGGATCTTGGGCCGCCAACTCCCACCTGCACGATGTGCGGTCGCCCCACAGCGCAGGGTCCTGCAGTGGCCCCAGCTGCCTCTCCGTACTTCTCCCAGCCAGCTCTCCTCCCCACACCCTGGACGCCCACCTGCCGACCTCATGTGCATCTATAAACAACCCCATGGGCTTCTCCTGCCATCAGAGACGTAGTCGTCTTTCTGTAGACAACCCTAGGCCCCTACCAGGCTAATTCTCTCCATAAATTCATAACCAATTTGGGGGCCAGGATTTTAAAAATTTCCTGGAAAGATATTCCCAAGCACCTAAATAATGAAAGTCATGCACTCAAATACTGGTGTGTTTTTTAATGTTGACATCTTCCTCTAAATACCAAGGGGGGTGTTCTGCATGGCAGGGGGAAGTAGTCTTCACTGCATCTGTGCCAGAGGAGAGCCTGCCCTGCTGTCCCTTGAGACAGTCTCCCAGGACCACTGACACCCACTTCCCTCATGTCACTGCTCCTGGACCCCGTGGGGAGGGCAGGCGGACTCAACTCTCCCACCCAAAGGTCCCACAGGGTTCTCAGAAGCTCCGAGACACAGCAGCTAGTGGCAGGTGGGATGGAGAAGAACAACCGAGCCCTCAGGGAGCCCCAGGGGCCCCCCGGGGGAGCACTCAGGGGAAGGTGTAAAGGGGCAGATTTCTCCACCAACAATGAGCTCAGGGCATGGTCACCTAAGCTTCTGGATTTACCTTTCACTTTAAAACCAAGCAAGAGAAGCAGCACCCTGGCCAGGATGCCACAGGACTGAGAGGTTCTCCAGAGGGCAAAGGGTGAAGGGTAGAGTGCACAACGCCTGCCCACCACCAGAGGCCCGTTGGCGTCCCTCATTTCCTTCTCGGTGTAGACAGAGCTCACCCGCTTTGTGAGGTGGTGGCTTCCACAGGGAGGAGTCCCTCCTCAGTCCTCAAGCCGCCACAACAGGGGCCAGGGTGGGGGAGAAGGGCGGCTGGGGCAGCAGCTGCTGGATGAGGAGGAAACTGCAATAAATACCCCCTCAGAACTCCAGAATGTTCCGTGACATCATCTCCATAATCCCCAGCACGCAGTGAGGCCAGCCCATGGCTCAGCTGTGATGAGGCCCACCGGGGGCAGTGGTAAGGGTGACAAAGTGCCACTCGCTGCTGGGGGAGGGACTCAGGTGAGGCACGGCCTAGATCTGCCCCGGAGCCACCACGCCAAGAGCCCAGCGCCCGAGGCAGGGAGGAGCCAGCCAGCGCCAGAGCCCTCATGGGGCTGCGTTCATCGGGTTTCTTCTGCTGCTGTTTGGAAATGTGGGAATGTGCAGCACACAGAGGAAAAGACGAGCACAGGGCAGATGCCCTGCCTGGGCGTCCACGCCCTGCATCAGGGCCTGAGCCCAGGGACCGTCTTCTCCAGCCCAACCCACCCGCCCCGTGGACACAAGTGAGTGACCCCCAGCAAAACGTAGCCTGCATTTGACATTGGATACTTTGCCTTTCTTCTGATAGGATCCGATGGTGGGATTAAAGAAGCGTGGAAGTTTTCATTTTAAGGAGAAACATGTTTGCATCCTTCTCTAAAAAAAAAATTGTCGGCAATAAATTCCCCTGAGACAGTCCACTCCCCGAGCTGCTGCAGGGCTGTGAGGAGCAGGAAATGGATGCTTTATGATCCAGCCTGCCGGGGCAGCAGACTGCCTAATTGCCTCCCGAAAGGCTGAAATGTGGAGGACTGGGGGAGGGCCCGGCCTGCGGGGACGGTCTGGCCAGTCGGCCTGTTCCAGGGCTTGGAGCTGGGTGCGCCCCGCCCAGCAACAACTGGGTGTTTAGAAGCCCTGGGGGCGGAGCCAGGGAGGCATTGGAAGGAGTCCTGGAGCCTGTGCGGTTTAGCTTCTGTGGCTCCTTGTCTCTGGGGCAGAGAGACGAGGGGGCATTCTCCCACCTCCTGGCCTGGGCCTGCGCTGCCCTGAGCTTACAGCCAGAGACCCGCGTGCAGGTTCAGCCCTCCATCTAGGGAGGCCCAAGTTAGCTTCCGCTCCCTGCTTGGCAAGGTAAATCCAGGGCCACCCTCCCTTCCCAGGAGAGAGGTGGGGTTTTGGTTCATTTGAATATACAGATAAGAACTTAAAAAGTTAGATTGCCCCTTCATCCATGCTACAAGGAACAATGTCGGGCGTGGTGGGACCAGGACAGTGAAGCTTCTGCACATGTAGGCCAGGACACCCCGGTATGGCTCTCCCCAGGTACAGACAGGCTCAACAGGCAGGGAAGGCATGCTGATCAGCCCTTCTGGAAGGTTCTCCCATCAAACCCTACAAGGGCTCAATCCCTCAGTCACTGAACTCCTG